CCCGGGGACGCGGGGAGCAAAGCCGCGGCGGCGGCGGGGTGCCGTGCTCAGAAGCGCGGGACCCCGCCGCGGCTGCGGCTTTGCTCCCGGTGCCCCTGGTCTGCTGGAAACGGTCCCCAGCAGACCAGGGGCACCGAGAGCAGCTTTTCTCGCCCCGGAGGTTGAGGTGGCGGACCGCTGCCTGTGAGCTCCGGGGCGAGAAAGCCCCATTTGTAAGTGCGGATCCGACATAAGTCGGATCCGCGTAAGTCGGGGACTGCCTGTACAGACAATCTCAAAGGACTGAATACTTGGAAAACAACTCTGATAGGAGAAAAATGCTGACAAGAATTCCAGTTACATCTCTTCTCAAAATCTCATGGGCTCTTCAGGTCCTCAGTAGTGCAGTCCCATTTCTAGTAAATACATAGGTGAAATACCGTTTTAGATTCATGTTAGTATTCAAGATGAGAATCTTTCCTTCAACCAATGTCCTAGTCTTATACTAAGTGTCATTCTGCTAAAGACTCTAGATAGGAAATAAAACGTCCTGATTACATTCTGGAACACAAATTTCCATATCAGATCAATCACTTAGTCCAGTATCTTCTCTCAGACAATGATCAGTACCAGATGCATCAAACGAAGATTTAGATCAGGGCTACTCAACACATGGCCGGTGGGGCACGTGGCCCTCAGCATGGTTTGGATTTACATAGGCAAGGCTCAACACATGGTCCGCAGGTAGAAGGCAAAACAAAAAAGTAGTCAGTATAATGGTTTTCTGTTGATATGCATTTTAGTAGTTTAATTCCAGGACTGTCATTGCTCATTAAAAGTGCTGTTATATGGGTGGAAATCAGGTAAATATTGCATTTTAATAATATCAGCAGAACTGATTTAAATGGGGTCTGGGTGTTGTGTAGGTGGTGTTGGGAGCACAGGGGCATTGTGGGAAGTGCTTTGTATTCATGTCCATCAGTGTGAAAGAAGCTATTTGCATATACATACAAATATATATGTAACCACACTTAAGTTGTGGCCCTTGGCATGTGTAGTATCAATGTGGCCCCCGGGCTTCCAAAGTTGAGTAGCCCTGATTTAGATTATGGAGTAGACCAGCCAGTTTTAATTATTTCCTTTCATTACTTTTAGATCTGTTGCCTTTCATGTAGGCCTTTCATCCCAATTACCTTCTCTACACCCAACAGCTGTGTATGTTCTATTTGTGCTATTTTTCCTCAATAGCTTGATCACATTTGAATACAGCATTCTAGGAAAGAATACCCTTGATTTATATAAACACTTATTTTCAATGTTACTTTCTAACCTTTTTTTTAAACATTCTAAAATAGTGAAAACAGCTGCTCAATTCACAGTGAATTGAGTTATCCATGCCTCCTATTTGTTGACTTAAGTAATTAAGAACGCAGTTGTGTATGACAGTTGAATAGAACCCTTCCTATGTATTTGTCAATACTGAAGTTCATGCTGCACAGTACAGATGGAGCTACTCAAGGGCCCCAGAGATGACTCAGCTGTGTCTGTACTCTTTTTTTTTTTTTTTTTTAAAGAATAAGGCATAATACTTGGGGTTCAAAATAGGGATGTTAGCTATTGGGTAATTGAATAGTTGAGTAAATGCATGAATTCTTACTGGTTACTTGACTTTTCTAGTCTCTGAGGACTAAGAAACCAGCTCCCTATGCAGACTAGCTGCTGCCTTTGATACAGAGGCAGCAACATGGGGAAGCAGTAGCTTCTGTCTGCAAGAGATCCAAGCTCCCTGTGGACAGAGGCAGCTCTGCCTCCCCTGTCTGCAGGGAGCTCCAAACCCCACAGTCAAGGGCTGAAGCTGGAGCAGCCTCTGTCCATGGTGTGCTGGGGCTTGCTGTGACAGAGTCTGCTTCAGCAGCAGCCTCTGTCCAAGGGATGTGTGTCTGTGTGTGTGTCTCTCTCTCTCTCTGAGCTTCCTGTAGACAGAGACCAGCCTCTGCCTGTGGGGAACTCAGATCCCTCCCCCTCCCCGTGCTGCTGCTTCTGATAAGGCAGAAGCACGATGGGAGGGGGCAGGCAGCACAACAGACCTGTGAGGGGAGCTGGCATTTAAAGCAGGAGGTGGGAGGGGATGAGAAATGCTTATAGTTGATAAGATTAACCCATAAACCTAGGCTTATTGGTTAATCATACAGTGGACTACACATTGACATCCCTAGTTCAAAAGCCAGTAGTTTAAACAAGGAAAATTCAGAATTAACAGTGGAATTTTACCAGTGATTACATAACAAATACTTCATGTTTTTACTCCTGAAATATGAAGTGCCCCAATCTTTGTATAATTTACAAAACTGACAATTGTAGCAAGTTAGTATTTTCTTCTTTAGCTAGGTAATTATTGTTACTGAAGTGACTAATGCAACCATTGGAAAAAATGTCACGCAGCAATTGGTCAAATATGGAATCCCACTTGTGTAACTAAAAGGACTAATGGACTTTTGTGAGCACTTTCAATTAGTTTTATTGAGTAGCCAAATCTTTTAAATTAGCACAGATAAAATAAGCATTTGCATGTGTTACAAATGACTTTTTACAGGAATAAAACAGTGAAAATTACAAACTGTAAAAAGGAGGACAAGTAAATCCTGTCTCAGATTCAGAAGGGGCAAGATTTATAACTTCACGCTGAAGATCTGTGTTTGAGTTTCAGAAAACAAGGATTTAATATTACAATATTATACACTACTTTACAAAATTAAATGTATAAGGATTACATCCATAATAGTGAACAGAAGCTTAAAATCACATTTGATGGTCCCTTATATAACAGCCATTCTGCATCTTTGATTATAAATTGTTAAGACATTAACTCTGAATAAAAGAAATGTAAATCTTATTCTAGTTATTGCAAAATAGTCTATTTAGACTGAGATTCAAATATATTAAATTATAAAGACGTATACAAATTAAAATGGATGGTACTGATGTTGACTGAAGTAACATTAATGTGTCAGACAAATAGTTAAATCTCAGAAACTAGAAAAATATTGTAAGTGTACTATGGTAGTTGTCACACTAAGATAACAACCAGGGCCACCCTTGTCTGTTTTTATTGTAAAACAGTATTCTTGACATCTGTAAACAGTGAGAAGTATGACAAAGGCAATTTACACAAGGGTGTTACTCTGCAATGATGTAAAAATAATACAAACTGAAGCAGGAGAGGTTTGTCTCTGACTGCATGGAATTAAACTAGACTTTCAATAGTGCAGGATAGTCAGTCAATTCATTATAGACATTCCAAAAGCACTGTACTCCAAATGGGGTTAATTTGCTTGCTGTTCATAAGCTTTGCATAAAAATATTAGGGATCATAACTTGAAATGTTGTTGGTCATTGAATTGGCATGTAGACTGACATTCACAGCTGTTAACCTAATTTACATAAAGTGAAGCTTTCTCTGAAACAGATGCTATATTTTAAAATTAAGTTTATGGACTATAATGACAAAGCACGTGGTGATAGTAAGGAAAACCACAGGCTTTTGTGTGTGTTATGAGATATATGGATTATTTCCAACATCTCAATGAGTACATTTTGTCATCACATGCCTGGAGTGGATTACCACTTCATAAAATTGTGGTTGTCGGAAGGACTGATTCTCATTTAAGAAATAATAAAAAATAAGATTTAAATGAAACCAGAAAAGTCATTTAGTGAATTTTAAAACAGAACTTCCCCTACATACTTACTTTATATTTTCATTTTGTGAGAAGATAATGCACAGTCTTAAAAAAAGCTTTTGTGAAATACATTTCTACTAGTTATGTAGACACAGTAGGCAGGGTGTTTAAATCATCTTTGGGAGAAATAAATCAGCACACAATGATAGTGGTTTTCTTGTGCTCAACTTGTTCACTATGTTTCTATGAAGAAACAGCTGCTTCTCCCCTGCACTGAGGTAACTCCCATTAGTTTATTATAACTGGAGCAGAGAAACAGGCCATGGCTGTAGAAACTGTGATCCTATCAGGTCCCGTTAAATCCACTTTGCAAACCTTTCACAAGTTTACTAGCCTAGGCACAATACCTACTTGTCTGCCTTTATTATAAACATTTTACTCACCAAAGAAAAGTTACTTAACCCCAACAAGATTTTAGCAAGTCTGCAGTAAGTGTATGAGCCTTAATATAAAATAAAAACAAAGTAAGGTACAAAACTTCTCCTCCCCTCCCCACAGCTCTTTCATAGGCATATAAGGAGCAACAATCAAGTAACATAAGGAGAAACAACCTGTCATCTACAGATTGCTCTCCAATGTACTTTACTTCTCAAATACTTTGCACATCTTACATTTAAAAATATCAGCTTTCTGTAAAACCAATGTCCAGTTTCACTGTAGTACCCGCAAGTCTGTCAGTTAAATTATTATATGTATTTGGCATGCACACGGCCCTAGAATTAGGCTTGTTAACTGCTTCCATCAAAATTATTTCTGAGAGCTTTTTAAGAGCCAGATTACTTCTGGTTGGATTCAGGTTTAGAAGTAAACACAATATTCAGTGCTGTTTCAAACATATATTGATAAATTAAGGTTGAAATGTCACCACCACTGCCTCCTTTCACAAAAAAAATTAAGTTTATGGGACCTAACATTTAGTTAACTTACAAGAGCACAGAAGTCTAAAGGATCAAGGTGGTTCTATGCTTTGCCTTCTGTTCTCCCACTTGACTGCCATTTAATGAACTATGAAGACAAAACCAAACTAATTTTAACTACAAAAACAAGGCTCAGTGTCAAGCTCACTTTTGCTGCCAGACCACTTGATTATAATTTTCAATTTACACAGTCTACTATGCCACATTTGCCTTTCAGGTACAAGAATAATGATATATTTAAAAGTTTTTTTTAATGAATTACTTCTCTCAATGACCAATCTATCGCAATCCATCTAGGTCAGTTTAAGCTACCTTTAGATCTATCCAACATAACCATTTCCAGAACATTGCATCCTAAAATTTTCATAATTATTTTCAAATATTTGTTCATTTCACAATGAATTGTTTCATTGCTACTTTAGGCATACAAGTTAGCTCTCTTAAAACAAGTGTTCAGTCTTTCATCAGTGGATATACTGTATCAAAGACAATACAATTTCCCTGCAACTCAATCATACTGAGGTTTTAAATCTAGCAGCTCCTCCCCCCCCAAAAAAAGCAAAACTGAGTTACAGAAATATACATTTTGAACTACATTTTACAAAATTTATTTTGCTTCAATATTGCAAATGTACTTCATGCTGCAACTGCCTACAGTAAAAACATAATTTGCAGCAAATTAAAGATACCCAACCTCTTCAAATATATTTTGATTTTTTTAAAAGTACAATATTATGTAGTTGCACATATGATTTTCAGTTGTGGTCCTTTATTTGCTTTACTTTTGTTGAAATCACAGTGAGATCTTCTTGTCAACTGCACCAGGCCACAAACTTAAACAAAAGATATTACAAGCACAATTGTTCTTTACTGCAGAAATTTTCGCTAAGCAAGAGAGCCACAAAATTCAGTGGTTCATTTATTCACTTGCTGCTGTATATGCAGGAGGAACTCATAGTATGATAAGGCAGATTCTGTTCTGTCTTCTATCATGTTCTGTAGGAAACTTGATTTCAGCGGACTTTCATCCCTTAGAAATAGAAATAAAATGACTGAGTGAAATAAAACATTCATTGACCTATAGTTGTGTATTTTTAAAGTTACAGGATGAACTAGTATTGTGAAATATTTAAAAATAAATGCATCAGCTTGTAAAGGGTAAATGAAAAGCCTGTACTGTAGGCCTCAGTCATTCATACCATAATACTGCTGGATAATGTTCACATTTAATTCACTAAATGTCTGATGTTAAACGACATGGTTATTTTTATAACATTAAAAAATGTTATATAAGACCTAATTGGCAGAGGGTCTACTCTGTCAACTCCCATCAAGTGCAACACTTATAAAGTGCCATGTATTAAATGAGAGCTGGTGCCATGCTTGCTGTTCAATAATGTCATTGTAAGACTGTACAGATGGTATACAAAGAGTCATGTGTGCTGGAAATAGTTACTTAACTATAAGGAGGTTCTTCAAAATGTGTGGTTCCTATCTGTATTGCACATGTGGGTGGGTAGGCAGGCATGGCATGCCTGCTGAATCAGTTTCTCAGCAGCGTCCAATGATCAACATGTGAGTGTTGCATCCCCTCATGCTCCCTACCGAGGGTGTAAATAAGTTATGCCTCCCAGTCTTCCTATTATCCTCTTGGGATGTAGTCCAAAGCAAAAGGTGTGGATAATGGAATACAGACTACGTATCTTGAATAACTTCCAGTTACAGGCAGGTAACTGGCGAACAGCAGGCAGCGTAGAGGAGGGTGTGAGGATCCCAAGGGAAGCATGATCTGCAGTACAACCTAGTCTGCTACCACTTGTGCAACGGTATAGTACATTGGGAACAAGAATGCCAGATGGCTGCATAACAAAGTCTTGCCAGCATACATCTGGCAGTGAGGCCAATGTGGTGGCTTGTGTTCACGCACAGAGAGCTGTGATGCCAGCAGAAAGGGGGCTACACCTGATTATTGGTAGCATCCACAGATGCTCACTGAGACCCATTTGCAGATTTGTATGGAGGACAGGGCTTGACGTTTGGACTGTTCAGCAATGTATGAAAGGTAGAGGTGTGAGGGTAGAAAGCCAGTGCATACTGCAGACATCGAAGGAGTGTAGGACCCCATCAGTGGGGGAGGTGTGCGGTTTGGGACAGAAAACAGGGAGGTGGATGCACTGGTTTAAGTGGAATTCCAACACTACCTTCGGGAGAAATTTAGGGTGGGTGGAGCCATAGGAACACATTGTCCTTGTGGAATATACCTGGCTGAGGTTATAGCTACCATGAATAGCACTCATCAAAAGGCAGGCGAGGGGGCATGTTGCCAACAGTTCAAAGGGTGGCTTTGGGAGGGTGTAGAGCCATGGCGCCCGCAGGGGCATTTGCGTGTGCCTGCCAAGTGCTCGGGGCTGGCCTGGCCCCAGGCACGTGGCGCATGCGCGGTGCCAAAGCCGGCCCTGGGCGCATGGCGCACTGTGAGCTCCAGCCCCGGGAACGCCGCGGATAGGCCGCCCGTGCTCTGGGCGTGCGGTGCATTGGGGGAGTGCCGGCCCCAGGCGCGTGGTGCTTGCAGGAGTGCCGGGCGCATGGCGCTTGCAGAGTGCGCCGGGCGCGTGGCGCTTGCAAAGTGCACCGGGCGCGTGGCGCTTGGGGGGGCGCGCCGGCCCCGGGCATGCGGCCCT